CCAGGTCCGATACCCTTCCGGCTTTCTGCAAAGCGACTAAGACCTGGCTGTTCCGGCAGGCCCGGGGCTGTTGATTTATCCAGCCCCATCCTAAGTTATGAATGTTGTGGAATTTTTAATGTTGTTTTTTTATTCTTTGTATGTCCCCCCCCCCCTTTCCTTTTTTTACCTGTAAGCCGCCCTGAGTCTCCCGAGCGTGGGCGGCATACAAACCAAATAAATACAAATACAAATATTCACACCCCCTGAACTCAGTCTCTAATCGCCACTCTAGCAATAAGTGTTTAGACTTTCTATAGGGCCCCATAGTGCTCTACAGCCCACTCTAGGTGGCTTTACAGAGTTAGCCTCTTGCCCTCCCAACAATCTTGGCCCTGCTTTTACCCACCTGGGAAGGAGGGAAGGCTGAGGATGCAACCTTGAGCTGGTCAGGATCGAACTGTGGAACTGCTGGCGGAATTAGCCTGCAATACTACATTCTAACCCCGTGATGGCGAACCTATGATATGCGTGACGGAGGTAGCACACAGAGCCCTCTTTGTTGGCACATGTGCCATCGCCAGCTGCTTTTCTGGTTTCTGGCACACACGTGTGTGCTGGCCAGCTGCTCTTCGCAGAGCACCAAAAAATGGCTTGAAAAATGGCCAAAAAAACCAGGTCATTTTTCAGGCTGTTTCACACTGTTTTTGGGGCCGTTTTCAGGCTGGTTTTTGGGCTGGTTTTGGCCCCAAAACAGCAGAAAAGCAGCCTGAAAACACCCAAAACACCAGCCAAAAAAACAGGCATGCGCGCATCGATCAGCTGGTCTTTGGGTTTGTAATTCTCAGCCTTTGACAGCTTTATGAAGTGTCGACTTCAGCTCCCAGAATTCCTCAGCAGCCATGCTGGTTGGGGAATTCTGGGAGTTGAAGTCCACCCATCTTCAAATGGCGAAGTTTGAGAAATGCTGCTGCTGCTACTACCCAATCCCATTTAGCCTAGCTTAGTGTCGTGCGTGTGAATGCAGCTACAGAATTAGGCCCTCCTTCCCCAGAAAGGCAGAGATGAGGATGACAGGAAGGGGTGGGGGTGCCCGGGAAGAGGGCAACCTTTGCAAAAACAAAAACACAAAACCCCTCCCACCCTAGAGGTGGTGTTCAGCAGGTTCCGACTAGTTCTGGAGAACTGGTAGCGAAATTTTGATTTGTTCAGAGACCCGGTAAATGCCACCTCTGGCTGGCCGCGCCCCCATCTATTCTCTGCCTCCCGAGTCCCAGCTGATTGGGAGGAAATGGGGATTTTGCAGTATCTTTCCCCTGCCATGCCCACCAAGCCATGCCCACCAAGCCACGTCCACCAAGCCACGCCCACAGAACCAGGTGTGGTTTGGTGGGCATGGCATTTTTTTAGTTAGAAATTTGGATCCCACCACTGGTGCACGTGCATTCCGGTTTGGGCGCTCGGTGTCGAAAAGTTTCCCCATCACTCTTCTAACCACTGAGCCACCCAAGCCAGATTCATTTATGGAAAAATGCCTCCAATTCTATATATATAACAGAAAGGAAGATTATGGAAGCCTCAAGGCTGCTGACGTGAATTGGCCACAGGAATTCCACTATTCCAAGAATGAAAAATGGGGGACTCCTGGGACAAAATGCACCACCCGTCAAAATCGTTGCTCGTATGCGACTGTCGTATGCCACCCAGAATTGCACTGCTGGAGCTGGCCGCCTTGTACATGACCCAAACAAACCCAGTGTACTAGATTTATTTCACAAGGATGCAATCTGGGTCGGTCACCGGGACCAGACGTTTTAGCTTTAGGGAGCCTCTCTCTAGCAAACTATTCTGTGTGTGGTATTTATGGGGTGCCTGTTGTGTGTGGCTTTTTAGCTGTTGATTGGGATGATGGTGGCTGGCTATTAAGGCGTTGGCTGTTGTTTCCTTCTGCTGCCAAGCCCTGGCCTCAGAGGTGGTATTCAGCCGGTTCGGACTGGTTCGGGCAAACTGGTAGCTCCGACAATCAGTCGGCCCTACTCATTCACCCCCTGTCCTATCCTGTCCGTTACTTCCTATTTTCTAGCTCATCTCAATCACCCACAGCTGATTCCCTCCCCATGCTGTTTTACTGACCATTGCTGACTTGGACGGTAAGAAGACGAGCTTCTAAATGCTGCATTTTCAGCATTGTGTGCAAGCGCTTGAGACACTCACACACGCACAAGGCGCACACACTCTCACCAAACCGGTTGTTAAACCACCAGCAGCCCATCCCTGCCTGGCTGTCTAAGTACTGGATAAGTTGCTGGTAAACTATCAGTCCTGTTGATTGACAAGGGACGCCTGTCTTCCAGGCTTCAATCTCTTCCCTGGCTGTTTTTGTACCTGCTCGCCCAACAAATGGAAGGTATGTCCTTGTTTATTGCCATGATTTCTTTCTTTCATAGTTGTTTGGAGGGAGGGATGGAAAACAGCGGCAGATGGGCAAACTGATAGGAAAGCCGGGGAAGAGGGTAAAGCTGGCATTTGAAATGGGTAGATGAAATATTGCAGGATTTATTGCGTATTTCTCCAACCACTCCGCATGGTTTCCTTGTCGCAAATGCTGCAGACATTCAAATATCGCAATATTCATTGTGCGTTTCCCCAACCTTCCCGGCCCTTTTCCTTCTCACAAATGCTACAGATATCCTGGAAAGCTGCTTCTCGCAATGAACCCAAGCTGGCTGCTAAGGCTGCCCCGCGGCAGCCCACCTCCCCCCCCCGCTTCCCAGTTCCGACGGAAAGAAAACTGGCTTGCGTCCTGCTGATACTCACCGCCTGAGCGTACGCGCTGTACGGGCTGAACGGCAAGGCGAAAGAGGGGGTGAGGATGCCAAGCTGCCCCACCATCTGCTGCACTCTCCGCAGCGTCCGCTCCTTGTCTGTGTCCGCGAACTTCACCACGAGGCTGGAAGAAGCACCCTGCTAGACAAAAATGCAAGCTTGGGGTGGGAAAAGAGAGGACAAACTGGGGCAAAAGCGGTTTAAGAAGAGGTTAGACAACCGTTTGTCTGGAATGGCAAAGGGTCTCCTGCTTGAGCAGGGGGTTGGACTAGAAGACCTCCAAGGTCCCTTCCAACTCTGTTACCCTGGGGGCATTCGGCTGCTTCAGTTGTACAGCGCGGAAAATTCTGCAACCGGACAGTTTTACGGCTTACGACCCCGATGGGAACCTGAATTTCCCTCCTTAACCCAGGGGATGGCTAACTGAGTCACGTCCCCTTTTGCGAACCATTTTGGCCACAGTTGTTAAGTGAATCACTGCAGTCGTTAAGCGAGCATTCTCGTTCTGTGCATCTGGCTTCCCCATTGACTTTGCTCACCCGAAGGTCGCAAAAGGGGATCCCATGACCCCAGGACATTGCAACCGTCGTAGGTTTGAGCCGGTTGCCAATCTGCTGAATTTCGATCATGTGATCATGGGGATGCTGCAATGGTCACGAGTCACTTTTTGGTGTGGTTGTAACTTTGAATGGTCATTAAGCGAGGACTAGCTGTACTCGCAGATTGGGGTTCGGCCCCACCCATCTTGGGTTCCCCCTTTCAAATTACCCCGTATTTTGAAACCCAGAGCTAGCATGATTCCTATGTTGCGTTTTCCCCTGGCATTAGATTTCCTAGAGGGATGTCCCAAAGATGCTTTTTTCAGGAGGCAACTGGACTTTTCTTGTTTTCCCTCGAAGACATTTTGCTTCTCATCCAAGAAGCTTCTTCAGCTCTGACTGGATGGTGGGGAACGGAAGGATTTATGCTCCTTGCAGACAGCTGGTCATTTGCATCCTTTTTAGAGAATCGTTGAGCCCACTTGGAGGTTTATTTGTGTCTTCTTTAAAGATGTTTCACTTCTCATCCAAGAAGCTTCTTCAGCTCTGACTGGATGGTGGGGAACGGAAGGATTTATCCTCCTTGCAGACAGCTGGTCGTTTGCATCCTTTTTAGAGAGTCGTTGAGGCCACTTGGAGGTTCATCGGTGTCCTCAGGGCCACCTGAGTGGTGCAAATGGGTGTGGAGCCTTCTTGGAACAGTTGAAAGGACCGTGTTGTAGTCTGGAGATAGATGATGTGGTATCCCTACTCTTCCGTTGAGTTCAATTTTGACAGGTGGCCTCAATGACTTGCTAAAAGAATGCAAATGACCAGTGATCCGCAAAAGAGGGTAACTCCTTTCATTCCCCATCACTCAGTCAGAGCTGAAGCTCTTGGATGGGAAGTGAAATGTCTTCAAAGAAAAAAGAAGAAGAAAGTCCAGTTGCCTTCACATCCAAGAAGCTTCTTCAGCTCTGACTGGATGGTGGGGAAATGGAAGGATTTATTCTCCTTGCAGACAGCTGGTCATTTGCATCCCTTGAGAGAGTCCTTGAGGCCACTTGGAGGTTTATCTGTGTCCTCAATGTCATCTGAGTGGTGCAAATGGGTGTGGAGCCTTCTTGGACTTGCTGAAAAGACCGTGTTGTAGACTGGAGGTAGATGATGTCGTTTCCCTCCCCCTCTGTTGAGAGGGGGCTGTTTAATTTTGACATGGATGGCCTTTTTGACCCCTCTTTCAAACCTGTAGTCCTCTCTGTCCAAAATGTGGACTTTGCTGTCTTCAAAAGGATGGTCTTTGTCTTTCAAATGCAGATGGACTACCGATTCGTGTTCTGATGGGTTTCTTCTCCTATGTTGTGCCATGCGTTGGAGAAGTGGTTGTTTTGTTTCCCCAATGTGCCCATCAGGACAAGATTGAGCATCTACATAGACATGGGCCCTGCTGATTTCCACTATACGTTCAGACAAACCTCCAACGACTCTCTAAAAAGGACGCAAGGAACCAGCTGTCTTCAAAGAATATCAATCCTTCCATTCCCCACCATCCAGTCAGAGCTGAAGAAGCTTCTTGGATGAGAAGCGAAACCTCTTCAAAAGAAAAAAAAACAAGAGAAGTCCAGTTGCCTCCTGAAAAAGCACCTTCGGGGGCAACCGTGACCTGGATGATTGAGAATCTCCACAGACTTCCTAGCAGGATGTTTGCCCCCCCTCCCCCCTTGCTCAGTTTCCATTGACCCAGATGGGAACAGTGCTAAATTATATCCATCTGGGATCCCTGGGTGTGTCTTCTCTGACCTGTGACAAGATTTGGGTGTTTACTTACGGGCATGGTCTGGCTGCCGTGAAGAGCATGGATGGCTGCTTGGGCTTCGTTGTGCGAGGAAAACTTAACAAAGGCACAACCTGGAAAGGGACAGGATTAAACCAGAATTAAGGCAGAGAAGATGCCTAGAACGAAGAAGAAATTTTCCTGACCGTGAGAACAATCAATCAGTGGAACGGCTAGCCTCCAGAAGCTGTAAATGCTCCAACTCTGGAGGTTTTAAAGAAGTGATTGGACAACCATTTGTCTGAAGTGGTGTAGGGTTTCCTGCCTGAGCAGGGGGTTGGACTAGAACTGAGGTGTCAGACTCAAGGTCTGCGGGCCACAGGTGGTATTCAGTCAGTTCTGACCAGTTTTGGTGAACCGGTAGTGGACATTTTGAGCAATTCGGAGAACTGGCAAATGCCACCTCTGGCTGGCCCCGCCCCCATCTATTCTCTGCCTCCTGAGTCCCAGCTGATTAGCTGCGTCTTCTTCTGTTGCCCTGCACAGGAGAACGGAGCTGGAAAGCAGGTTAGTGGGGTAGGGAGGGAATGGATATTTTATAGTATCCTTCCCCTGGATTTGGGCGGACATGGGGATTTTACAGTGTCCTTCCCCCCAGGAGTGGGAAGGGGATTTTACAGTATCCTTCCCCAGGAGTGGGAAGGGGATTTTGCAGTATCCTTCCCCTGCCACGCCCACCGAGCCATGCCACACCCACCGAGCCATGCCACGCCCATGTAAAAAAAATTGAATCCCACCACTGCTGCAGGCAGCCCAGAGAAAAGAGGAGGGTTATTTTTTTATTTTTTTCCCTTTATTTTTAAATATATATTTTCTTTATCATCATAAAAATGCACATAAAATAAAACCCAATTATAAATAATAAAATGATAAAAATAAAATATGATTATAAATAATAAAAAATAAAAAATAAAATAACAACAAAATAAAATGAAATGTGCATTTTTAAATCACCCGAAGAACCACTGAATAACAATTGCAATAATAGCAATTGAATGTGGATAGGTCCTTGTTACTCTCTGAGCTTGTAGACATTTTATTACCCTAACTATGTAACACCATCAGTGCTAGAAGGGAATGTGGTTGGAGGAGGAGGAGGAAGAGGAGCAGGAAGAGGAGGAGGAGGAGGAGGAGGA